CGAGGGCTGTTTTGTAATTACTGAATATGAAGAGCTATATTTCCCTACACTGCCTCCCCTACTGCATCCATGTCAAGTTCTAACTACTTGTACGATACTGGAGGAGGAAGGTGGACTTTTGATAAGCAAACATCTAGGAAAAAAGTAGGAAATAAAGGCCAGAAATCATAGCCTTTACTTCTAGGGAAAATATCAGAGCTTATGTAAACTCAGTAGGGGTGCACTCTCAGTCTATAGCCTGGGAAATTTGCTCTGAGGCTATCATGATACAAGAATTAGGAATATCTTTGGCTGTAATTTCAACATACCATGTATTTTCTTTATAATTTGGAAAAAAGTTAGGGAGACGATAGAGGCTCAGGAGGAGATTGTTAGTCTAGAATAAGGGTTGAAGGAGTGAGGGAGGTCTAGGGGCCACCCAGACAGACCAAGCCAGTTTCACAATTTCACCTGGGGCCAGGGTGAAATGGTTCACTTCAAAGCTCCTATAACTGGTTGAACCACATCTTCTCTGCTGTAACTCAGTAATGTTTTCGGCTATAATCTTCATTCATTATTGCAACTTGACTTGCCATTACCTAACTCAGTTCTTCTTCAATGAATCTGACAGTATATTTCTTTGAAACAACATGAATGAGGGCTTAAATCAGTTGCACGTCAAGTATGAATTCCCAGTTCAATATACGTGTTTGAGTTTCTTTTTTACATAGGCAACAACGTATCCCTTTGAAGAGATTTAGGAGTTTTGTAGTCCAGTTTAAATTCTGGTTAACTGGTTATGGAGCTTATATTAGCAGAGCACATACAACTGCTGGCATTATATCTATTCATTCAAGAAAAGTTTTCTGAGTGTCCACTGTGTGCCATAACTAAACACCTCTTTAAGGTATTTAGCAATTATTCTTTATTGCTACTGGAGTTGATGGTTGATCTAGTAGAATTTATTTTAGGAAAATATGGATATAAAGCAGGTTTCTGGCCTACAACATAGCGGGTCATTCCCATCAACATTCAGATATTTTAATTTGAAACCACACACATAGGCTCACACTTACATAGACAAACTCTTTCTTGACACGCCAATGCCCATCCTCCTTCCCTTACCAGAGAGTTGCTGTTCTTGCCATCTTCACTTTCCATCCTCATGTACTCTCTTGGGCACATTTAGATCAGGCTTTCGTGCCACCAAAATTGCTCTTGAAGTTTACCCCTGATGATACCAAATTTATTGATCAATTTTCATTCTTACTGACAGCATTTGACATGATTGATTATCCTCTTCCTTTTTAAAATATTTTCTCCACTTGGCCTCCAGGACACCACTCTCCTAACGGTTCTCCTCCTGTGGTTCTGGCTGCTCTTTCTGTCTCTTTTGCTAATTCCCATTCATTTTCCTGACATTGGAGGAACCCTGGACTCAGATATTCCTCTCTATCTACCTCATGATCTCCTCCAGTCCTACGGCTTTTTAAAATCTTTATCTTTAATTCAAATTTTTATTAAAGTAATATGTACACACTTAAAAAGTCAAACAGTACTAAAAATGTTATGATAAAGTACAGCATTTCCCTTTCCTATCCCTCATTTTCTTCATTCTTCCTCCCTAGAGGCAACTTTTAGCTGTCTCTTTTGACATTTATACCTCTACTTATTGGTAAATAATATGCATCTACTGCTGTTAGCTGTTACCTATCAACTTGATATTATAGTGGATTAGAATTTATCTCTTATAATGCCATTCTCTCTTCTACTATCCTTAATCTTCTAAATATAGTTATATTACAATAGTTGGTCAAATCAATATTCAGTGTTTATATTCTTATATGTATGCAAATATAATTCCTGGCAGAGTGTTACAGTATTTCATTATTGTGTTTTCAATATATCTTCCAGTTTGCTATCTGCTAGAAACCCATTCACTGATCTTAAATTTGGTTTATAGTATCTTTCTGTTTTCAAATCCTACCTAGTTCTTTTTAAACTATGCAATATCACTTTTTACAGTTTCCTGTTGAAATTTTCAAGCTTAGTTTTTGCGTCCTTTAACACAGTAAATACGGTTGTTTTACTATTTGTGTTTGATAATTCCAATATCTGGAGCCCTTTAGGGCTGGGTCTGATGTCACTTATTTCTGTTGGTTCTTGTTCATGATATCTAGCATCATGGGTCTAGTTAGATTCTCTGGGCGCTTAATCCGTCTTTCTACATTTATTCATTTCCTGTTTGGGTGAAGCATATCCTCTAGTAGTTTCATCACATTAAAAGTATGTTAGTTACAATGGCAAAAACATGATGAGGACAACAATTGACACGGCTATCTCTCCTGTCATACTGCACCAATCAGGACTGCTGTGCAGTTGTCATTTGGACAGCATGATTTCACCACCGGCTTGAAAAGTCCCTTCCTTTTCTTTGTGTTGAATCTCCTATTTTCTGTATTCCATGACTTCCTCATTCTCAGATTACTCTGTCAGTTTAGTAGAGACTATGTGATTGGGAGATGTAGTAGATAGATAGAAGATTGGTCCGTCAAAGATGAACACATTCTAATCTCTAAAACTTGTGAATATGTTTCCTTAAATGGGAAAGAGACTTTGAAGATACGATCAAGTTAAGGATATTGAAATTGGAACATTATCCTGTATTATCTAGGTGGGCCCCATGTAGTTATGATGGTCCTTATAACTGGATGGTAGGAAGTCTGTGTGCATGTGTTACATAGGTATGAGAGAGAGAGAGAGATAGAAAGTAGATGAGGAATAGAGAGAGATATGGTAACTTTAAATATGGAAATATGGACAAAGGGGCAACAAGCCAAGGAATTCAGGCCGCCTCTAGCAACCCTGATTTTCCTCTAGAGCCTCTTGAAGGAACATAGCCCTGTTAACACCTTGATTTAGGAATTCTGACATCCAGAATTGTAAGATAATAAATTTTTGTGTTGTTTTAGCTACTAAGTTGTAGCAATTGTTACAACAGCAAAAAAAAAAAATTTTTTTTTTGAGACAGAGTCTTGCTCTGTTGCCCAGGCTAAAGTGCTGTGGCATCATCATAGCTCACTAAACCTCCAAACTCCTGGGCTTAAGTGATCCTCCTGCTTCAGCCTCCCATAAGCTGGGACTACAGGCATGTGCCACACACCTGGTTTTAATGCTTCTATTTTTTGTAAGTCAGGGATCTCCGCTCTTGCTCAGACTAGTCTTGAACTCCTGACTTAAGCAATCCTCATGCCTCGGCCTCAAAGTGTTAGGATTACAGATATGAGTCACCATGCTTGGCCCAAAGTTCTTCTTTTAAAAGAAAAATGTAGTATTAAAGTTATGGTATAAAAAGTGGTCAGTATTGGTAAGAAGCTGACCTATGGGGAGCTGAAATGAGATTTGGTGAGAAAAAAATTTTAAATAATTCTCTGAGCTCTGTCCATATTTACTAGTACAAAGGTTGTTTTCTTCCTAGGGATGAACTATTTTCACTTTCAGACATTGAGGAGATACAAAGAGGGCTTTCAATAAGAAAGTGATAAAATAATAATTTTAGCAGCATTAGCAGCTAACATATGAGCACGTGTGGTGTCAGGCAACCTGACAAGTATTTAACATATTTTATTCAATTCCCATTGGGGTAGGTAGTATTATTTATCATTTTTTGATGTGAAGACTGAGGCTTAGCGATGTTGAGTAATTGGCTCAGAGTCACACAGCTGATAAATATTGTAGTTAGAATGCAAACTCTGGCAGTCAGGATTCCAGATACTCTTATCCACTGGAATAAACTGCCTCAAATAAGTAAAGAAAACAGGTTTTAAAGTAACACATTTGGTAAAGTCCCATTTTTATATATTCATAAGTTGCTCAGCAAGGTAAAATTTTACATTTTTATTTGCAATTATAAACTACCATTTATAATTGTCAGATGCATCCCTGTTAGTGGAGATCTCCCAGTGGCCCTTAATTCTGGAAGCCACACTGAGGGATTTGTTTTAATTAGGTAGATATAAGGAAAAGAGGGGGAGGGTGTAGTGGGACATTTGGGAGTTGACAATGCAGCTCTTTCATACAAAGAGTTTGAAGATTGCTGGGAGAAAGTTGGAAAATTTTCCTATGGACTAAGGAGCCTTCTGGGAAGGCAATTATTAATACCCCAACTACTTCCTTTAGGAGAGTCGATACTATTATATTATCTCTGATGGACTGAAGTGGCGCTGGCCTGAGATGGCAGCAAAAGAGCTTACCTAGGAGAAATTTACCATGAAGGAGAGGGGAGCCTGGACTGCTTGCCTGGGCTTAACATTGCTGGCTGCAAGGACAGGTTTATAGCTCAGCCCCTACACCTTTTACCTCGTATCACAGGTGTGTGTCTCAGGAAAAAGACCCTTTTGTGTTTGTAACTTTGGAAACACAGGTTGTCAGAGCACTTAAGTTTTAATAGCTCCATCTTGTGAAAGGTCTTGATATAGCAACACACAATAGTGTGTTCCAACAGTGACACCTTGTGGAGCAGAGGAGGCAGAGACTGGGGTTTGTGTGGACTATAGCAGTTTCTCATCTTTCTTTTTTAAAGCCAGTTAAAAGCAGCATTAATCCTTTGGACTCTGTTCCTGACCCTACCATGAAAGGACACAAACATAGTACACATGATTTACTGTGTATACTTATTTAATTTGAATGTTAAAAACAGATATGTTTATATATATACATATATATATATTATACATGCACACACACACACACCCCAAAAGACAAATGACAAAAGGGTAACGTAGAATACATGACAAATGGATGATTAATAAAACAAAGAGCATTTATAAGTCAATAAATAATAATGTTAATAAGTCAACGAGTAATCCAGCAGAAAAAAATTTCCAAAGGATAAAAACAAGCAGTTAATAGAAAAAGAAATATAGATAACGCTTATAAGAGTTTTGATTTCATTCATAATTCATTCATCTATTAAACATAAAGATTAAAAGCTCGATGAGATGGTACTTTTCACCTAACAGGTTAATAAATATTAAAAAGTAGGATCAAATTTAGTGTCTCCCTCTGTGAAATCTGATGATATGAAGATGCAAGAACCATGCAGAAACCATTCTGGTAGGCTGGCAGTACTATCCTCAGAAGCAGCAGTTGCAGAGGTTCAGGTGAAAGCCCCTAAGGTTCAGCACCCTTTGCCATGGGGTGTTTGTGCTCAATGGGACAGCCGTGGTGTTTTCCCTAGAGAAGCTCTGCAATAGGATATATTCTGCTGTGTAGCCCTAAAGCATAATTCTCTGGCCTTCCCAGAGATTCTGGGAACTCCCTGATATTCTTTAATAAATTCTTTTCCTGTTCAGACTATCCACAGTTCATTTCTATCGTGTGCAAGTTAAGAACTCCAACAGGCAGAGATACATTTCCTCATCCACATCTAGGGAAAGAGCGATCACTTTCAAAAATTTTCTCAAAAGAGAAAAGAAACTTTCTTCTCTGGTATCTCTGACAAAACTCTTTTTATATCTCAATGACCAGAACTGGGTCATATTTTTTTTCCCCCTGAACTACTGGAGCTCGAGGATAGGATTACACTAATGATCTAAGGCCTGAGCCATATCCTTATCCCTTAAGGCTTAAGATAAAAAACAGAGAGAAAGAGATGAGGACCCCCAGGTGAGGATCAGGATCAGAAGGGTGACTGGGTGAAAGTATGTGGGAGTAGAAGGACCACAACACTTACCAGACAGACAATGTTGTATTAAACCCTTTAGTTGTACTCCCAGACTTGCTCCTCCCATGAGTATTTGTTTTGGTGCTCTGATGAGAGCATCATCAGAGATGTTTGCATAAACCACTCATCATGTTGCCCCTGGTTACCACTTGGAACCCCTGGACAGAGTCCTCAGGACAGGATATAACTTCCTGTCTGTCGGGTCAGCAGAGGGTTGAATATGGGGTCAGTCACATTCTTTGCTGTCTTGTTCCTTCATACTCCCATTAATGAGGATTAAGCCAACAAAGAAAATGACAATGACTTTCTCCTCAGTTTAATGGAAATGTCTTCAAGAATTTTAATGGAAATTCCATTTTTTTTTCCAATTTGAAAGCAGTCACTGTTTATTAACTGGCCAGATTACAAAAATAATCATGGTAGACACCATAGTTCATTCTTCTAATAAGCCTGTTGATCTGGTCCTCCCTGTTGCCAGCATCTCCACCTTCTACAAAATGCGTTGTCTTTTTCTTCATTCCACCCCGTGGAGATGATAACTTGAAGGGCCACAAGAAATTATTTGCTTCTTTGAAGCATTTCCCAACAGTATAGATTTCATGAATCAGATCCTCCATGTAGATGATGCCATATTTATCAAGAGATCGAGCAATCAAATTGTTATCTGTCAACACAATTCATTTCTTATTGATTTTGCCACAACCCCACTTGTAGATTAGTTCATTTACTGACTTTAGGTTTGGGTACCCCCATGCAATATATGGTTCTACAATCCTCAGCATATTAACTGAAGCCTTGTTGAGGTTAACAAAGGTTCCATTGAAGATCTGGCGAAGGTGAAGAAGCTGCAACCCCTTTCGGACCTTTGGGCTCACACCATTGATACCTCGGATCCTGATGACAAATGCCAATTTGGGTTCTGCAGGTACATAAAAGTTGCCTGGTTTTCTTGCCATCCTAGCCATTCGAATCTCAGTTCTGTAAATCTGCCTGTATTCCTTGTGATGATGCTTAGCTTTTTCATAGATAAGCTTCCTCCTTGCCTTTCGAAGCATCTTTTGAGCAAACTTCTTTCTCAGGCGTTTGATCTTCAGCTCTGGGAAATTTCTTCGCTTTTTCTTAAGGGTTTCTGACACAGCAGGAACCTTCTTTTTCTTCTCTTCTGCATCCTCCATGGTTCCAGTCAGAAAAAGAGGAACTGGAAATTCCATTTTAATGGAAACCCTCATTGGTGTAGTCCACTTTCTCATTTTTCTCCCCTGCTCCTAGGCCCCAATATCTCCGAACAATGCTTCCTTCTTCTCACCTCTCAAAGCAAGCCTTCAGATATTCTTTGGAACAACCTACCCCTTCTAAATGCATGAGACAGCACTCCCAGCACTATAGTCCTCAAAGTTTCAAGCCTATTCTGAGCAGTATGCTTCTCAAGTGAATCTTACCCTTGGTACTACTGATATTTTGGGCTGGGTAATTTTTTGTTTTTGTTGGTACTGTCCTGTACATTGTAGGATGTTTAATAGCAACCCTAGCCTATATCCACTGGATGTCAGTGGCATCCTCCTCCTCCTCCTCCAAGTTGTGACACCCAAAACTGTCTCTAGATAGTGCTACATGTGCCCCACAGGGCAAAATTATCTGTTTGAGAACCACTAGGCTAGACTAATATCCAGGGGCAGGATGTGCTTGGGTAAGGGCAGGGGAGTTCTCTCATACTCCAAGTTAGGATGGGGAGCTTTGCCTATCCAGGTTTCAGAAAAAAGTACAGGGTAGGTGAAGGAACTCACTTCTGCTGTGAGGTGTAGATGAGCCTCTTTGTTCTTCTAATTGAGCTGCAGGTGATGATTGAATTGCCATCTTGCAAAAACAAATATTATTTTTCATAGAGAGTACAGCCTTACGACAAGATAGAAGATACATACTTTCTCATCTGTCTTATCATACACAAGGCCACATCTCTCATAAGGTTAATATTATACATTATTATTCAGAGCAGTCTATCTTGTTTCCAAATGTATCTTCTTTGGATCATCCCTGAACAATATTCTTTTTAATTCCCTTAGCTACTTGTAGAGTTGGCCAAAGATTAGCAATTATTACTTGGAAAGTTAATCCTGTAGTTTCTTTTTTTATGATGGTAGTTCTGTGTCATTTGGTACGTAGATATTTGGGTTATGATACACAGATATTTCAAAGTTTTAACTTTACTGTGGCTTTTAGATACATTTTTTTTTCTGGATAATTTTAGCCTTTAGCATTATGAAATGTCCTTGATCACATAGTCTTTCTGGCTTCAGTTATCTGGTATCAAAGTAACAACCCCTGCATTCTTATTGTTTTCATTTGCCTGTTGTCTTATTCTAGGCTGCTAAAACAAATTACGATAGACTGGGTGGCTTGAACAACAAACATTTATTTTTCATGGTTGGGTTTTGGTGAGGGCCATCTTCCTGCTTTGCAGATGGTCACATTCTTGCTGTATCCTCACATGGCAGAGTTAGAGAGAGGAAGCAAGATCTCTTGTGTCTCTTGTTTTTTTTTTTTTTTAAGAGACAGGATCTGGCTTCATTGCCCAGCTGTGAGGGCAGTGGCATTATCATAGCTTGCTGCAACCTCAAACTCCTGGGCTCAAGTGATCCTCCTGCCTCAGCCTCCTGAGTAGCTGGGACTGCAGGCATGTGCCACCACACTGGCTAATTTTTCTGTCATGTTGCTCAGACTAGTCTTGAACTCCTGACCTCAAGCTATCTCTCACCTCAGCCTCCCAAGATGGTAGTCCCAGCTACTCAGGAGGATAAGGCAGGAGAATCGCTTGAGCCCAGGAGTTTTAGGTTGCAGTGGGCTATGATAGCACTGTGGCACTCTAGCCAGGGCAACAGAGTGAGACTCTGTCTCAAGGAAAAAAAAAAAGTGAAATATGCAAATAAATGAGAAAAATAGTTCTCCATTACATATTGCAAAAAACCCAGTACCCCCTGCCCTACAACGTTGCCATTTTTCATTCTATACACAGCATACGCAGGCTGTTTCCCCAAGTGATGTGGGAACCATCTTCATGTTTTCGATTTTACCAAGTCTATTTGGGTGTTCGTACTCCATGCCTCCTTCCCTCCAGGTTTTACCCTGCACTCCATACTCTAGGTTTATCCTGACAATGTGGTGTAAAGAAGTGTGGACACATTTACCTTTTACCCTTTTCTTTCTCTCACTTAGACTCTTCTTCTCAGCACCAAAAGGGCTTTCTCTTTCTTGAACTGTAGGAACTTCCCTCACATCAAATCCTTATCCTATTTACTCTCTCATTCATTGTAAAAATTATTAGTCATTTGAACTTTTTTTGTAAGCTTTTTTTCTCCTCAGCAAAGGCTCCTCCAAAATCCCAGGTGCTTACTTTCAGGCTATTGTCTCAACATGGACTTGAAACATTATTTTAAAATTCAAAGCTGTTTTCAGCAGGGTTGTCCTTCCGAAGAGGCAATTATTTCCATTGATTCCATCAGTGGGAGTAATAATGGGCCCACCAAAACTAGGGATTATCAGGAAGGAAAATCTATTGATTTAATATCCCCCCAAATATTACACACATTATTTTGAGAATATACTCTAAGAATATATTTTATGGAGTTTCATTACATAGGTGGAAAACTAATAATATTATCATAAGCAAGTTTAGAAGCAGTGAAACTCACCCTAGGAAGGCATTATTAATAGTTCCTAATATATGGTTCTCTCTTGTCCCATTGCAGTTTGGTGGAGCCATGGGAGAGGGTCTAGCTAGTGAAATGTGAATGGAAGTGAGAGGGCTGAGGCAGTGAAAAATCGCTGCATGATACTATAGATTCTTTCTTCCCCTGTGAAAGTAGAGTATCATGTTGAGATGGCTGAACTACAAGAGCAAAGTAGTCTGGATTGCTGAGACACTGGTTAGAGGATGGCTCTAAGCCTGTCCCATAGTAGATTGTGTATAAGCAAGGAACAAATATTTATTAAGATACTGAGATTTTGAAATTGTTTATTGTCAGAGCATAAGCTAGCCTATCCTGACTAACATACTATTTTTCTTTGGCCACTGGTCTATTGCCTACTTAATTGGTGTGCTTGTTGTTGGGGAAGGTGTGTTATTTTTGAGAGTAGAAATGGAATTTTTTTTTTTTTTTTACAAGTAGTGAAACTCATTTGAAATATTTACTGAGTGCTTGCTATGTGCCAAGTGCTGGAGATATAATGGTATACAAAACACAATTTTTGCCCTTGTGGAGCTTACAGTCTAGTGGGGAAGTCAGACAAAATTAAGTCAAATGAGTTTGAGAAACTGAACAAGACCAATGTGACTCAGCAGTAATAAATGAGGAACAAGGGGCACAATAAGAAGTTGAAGAGATAGGCAGAGATAGATCATGCTACGGTAAGGAGTTTGGATTTTATTCTAAGTTCCATCAGATAAGATCAACCTTAATCTTCCTTTGATCGATGCCACAAAATTAACCACATCTATGTTCATTTCTTTTTTTCTTTCATCTGCCTCAACAAATGACATGTCCCTCATCTTTCTGATCACTAACCACTCCCCTTGTACCCTTCCTCCTCTGGTTACCCTTTGCTTTCCTCTTTTCATGTACTTGGCTCCTTGGGTTATCCTCATCTATTCTGAATTTTCATTCTCTTTTCAATGGATCAGTCTTGTCAACCAACCAAAAAGATTCTCTAGCATCTTCTATTAATACCTTAAAAAAACACCTAATCTGATACTGTATCTCCTGATAGCTTCTAACCTATTTCTATTTCATTGTATTCCTTTATAGTTCCAAGGGCTTAAAAATAATTTGTATGCTGACTCCCAAAAAAGACCTCTTCATTGGGGTAATCTCATATATCCAATTATTAATTTAATGAATCTGCTTGTATACTTGGAATGCAAATACTGCCCATTCCCCACCATCATCAGTGAGTTATGCATCAGTCTTTCTTCTATCACTAAAGGATTCAACCAACCACTCAGATGTTCAGGCCCCCAACCAGAATTCATCCTTGATTACTCTGCTTTTTTTTTTACCTTCTGTACCAGCACCTGCAGTTCGAGAAGATGCTTGACATTAGAAGAGGGGAAGAGTGCACAGGGGTAGAGAGGCAAGGGAGAGCCTCCAGACCAGGACAGCTTGCAAAGGTCCCCATGTTCAGTGAATAGAAAAAAAGAAAAAAAAAGTGACAAGAACTTAAAAAGTAAGAAGACAATGGAAGGAAATATAAGTTGAAAGAGTAAGCAGGCATGCGTAAATTCTTCAATTTTTAACTCAAAAATTTATCAATTTGGCTCACTCTTGCTAATGTTAGCTTTCATAATCTCTTGCCTGGATTTCTGAAATGGTCTCATGATTTGTTTTCTTGCTTCCATTCTTGCCTTCCTCTAACACTTTCTCTACACACTAGCCAAGATGGCTATTTTATTTATTTAAACCTAGACTAGTTTAATTAAAATAAACAAAAACTTTTTATAAATTGTGGTAAAATAAACTTTTATCATAACAAAAGTAGTACATGTGCCATAACAATTACAGAAAAAGATAGGTAAAAATAAAGAAAATATTATAAAAATATAAAATTCCATTTCCAAGGATTACAACTGCTAATACCTTACGGTAAAAACCCTCTAAATCGTTTTTTTGTGTGTGTGTGCATAAATACACATACATGCATTTTTTTAACCAAAATGAGATATTGTAATATACATACTGTTCTGTGACTTGTTCTTTTCAGTTAATGATCTCCACCTTTCCATGGCAATACAGTTTTTATCTAATATTCAGTCCATCTGTATTCAAATTTCTTCAATGGTCCTGAAAATGCATTTTATAGGTCGTCTGCTTAAACCAAGATCCAATCCACACTGTTATATCCTTTAATTTCCTTTCATAAAGCAGTTGATTTTTTTTTCATGACAATAAATTGTTGGATAAGCCAGTTTATACAGCAGAATGTTTCGCCTAGATTTTTTTGCTTACTTCCCATGGTATCACTTTTTCATCTATCTGCTGAATTTTTTATAAATTGTTTGTTAGATGCAAAGGCTTGATAGATTCAAGTTAAATATTTTCTCCTGGAATATACTACAGATAATACTGTATACTTCATACTCTAAAGAAACAAAATATCCGATTGACCCATAGGATAGCCTTTTAAAAATGTAGATTGCTTATGTTATTTTTAGAAATGTAAATTGTAATGTAAATTATTTAAGTGTCATTTATAGCTTCCTTTGAATTTATAATACTAAACAAATTCTTTAACTTGGACTACAAGGTTCTGAATGATTTGATGCCTGCTTACTCTTTCAACTTATATTTCCTTCCATTGTCTTCTTACTTTTTAAGTTCTTGTCACTTTTTTTTTTCTTTGTATTCACTGAACATGGGTAAGTGCTTGCCTCTTAGGGCCTTTGCAAGCTGTCTTGGTCTGGAGGCTCTCCCTTGCCTGTCTACCCCTGTGCACTCTTCCCCTTTTCTAATGTCAAGCATCTTCTCAAACTGCAGGTGCTATTTTAAGTTCACTTTCTCAGAGAAAGCACCCTGTTTTTCCCCTTACGATACTTTTTTTGTTTGCCTTGGGTCTGTGTCCTTACCTGACTGTGAGAGGCACAATGGCAGGGTCTTTGCCTACTAGGTTTACTGTGCACTCAGTACCTGTACACAGGAGCCCATCAATAATAGCTGAATTAACTATCATAGGTCACAATAACCCTGGGGCTGTAAGGTTTGGGGGACTTAGGCGCAAACTCTCACAGGTGGCAGTAACAGGAATACTTCAGCAGGGAGTTATTTGAGTGGAGGTGAACAGTTATTCTTACATGAAAGTACTCGGTCCACCCACCGCGGCATTAAGTACGAAGGGAAGAATCCCAGATGCAGAAAAAGCCAGGATCTTACAACACAGCACAGTGTGAGCTAGGCCCAGGTAAACGGCGTCGCCACGACACCTTCACGTGACCGCGGACGGCGGCGAAACGGGCCCGCGCAGAGTGCGCCTGCGCCGGAGCTCCCGGAAGTGGCCGGACCCGGAGCGCAGGCCGAGCTCACGTCCGTCAGCCCGTCAGTCCGCCAGTCCGCCAGGCCGGTACCTCGAGCGCCTTGGACCTCTTTGCTGTCCCGCCGTCTATTCGACCCGAACGGCGGCCGAGGCGCTCATCATGGCGACGTTCATTTCGGTGCAGCTGAAAAAGACCTCGGAGGTGGACCTGGCCAAGCCTCTGGTGAAGTTCATCCAGCAGACGTACCCGAGCGGCGGGGAAGAGCAGGCCCAGTACTGCCGCGCGGCCGAGGAGCTGAGCAAGCTGCGCCGCGCCGCGGTCGGCCGTCCGCTGGACAAGCACGAGGGCGCGCTTGAGACGCTCCTGAGGTGGGCGAGGGCCCGGGAGCGGGGAGGTTGTGTGGAGCCAGCCGCCCCTGGCCGTCCCCGTTCTTGCCTCCCTCCGTCCCTCCCTCCATCCGGTAACCTAGGCCGAGCCGCCCCACCCAGCCCCGGTTTGGCCCTGGCGTAGGTGTGGTCTGCATTCTTTCTTGGTGAGCAGGAAGGGCCTCGCAGGCCCGCAGTGACCCTTGCGCGCTCGTCCTACCTGTCCGCCCCAGCCCTTGGTTGGCCGAGGCTCCGTCGATCTGATACCTAGAAGGAACGGTCTGCCACGTACTGATCTCTCTTGCCACGATTACTCAGAACTAGTTTTCACTTTTTTAGTCTCTAACTGAAGCCTTCTTCTCTCACTGTCTTGTGACTCTTTCTTGGGCCAGATTTAGATTTCATAACAGTAGTTGCTTCAGGGAAGTGGGAAAATTGGGACACTGGACCATGTATCGGCTTATTACTTGTTACATTGTCCACTTGAAATGGACCATCTTCCTAAGTTCAAAGTAATCAAGTGACGGTGGGAGAATTCGGAAAATTAGGAGCTACAATTATTTGAAATAAAACTTTAGTGACAAAATAGAACGTTCAAGGGAGGTTGCTTAAAATCAGTATGTTCACAAACAGGTATGCACATAATGGAGTAAATTTCTTATTTACTCCATTACTCCATTTACTCCAGCAAATGTTTATTGAGCTCATGCTGTATTTAATGAGGGTACCTTTTGGACCCTCTAAAGACTATTGGGCTGGGAGGATCATTAGTGTGATACTTAGCTTAAGTATTTTTTTTTTTTGGTTAACCTAGGAATATTTAGCCATTGTTTAGAATTAACATATTTAAAAAAAAATTCAGAGCAATTTTTTTTTTGAGCCAGAGTCTCACTCTGTTGCCCAGGCTAGAGTTACATGGTGTCATCATAGCTCACTGGTAACCTCAAACTCCTGGGCTCAAGCAATCCTCCTTCCTTAGCCTCCCAAGTAGCTGGGACTGCAGACGTGCGCCACCACGCCCAGCTAATTTTTCTATTTTTAGTAGAGACAGAGGTCTTGCTCTGGCCCAGGCTGGTTTTGAACTCTTGACCTCAAGCAGTCCTACCTCCTTGGCCTTTCAGAGTGCTAGGATTACAGGCGGGAGCCATGGCACTCGGCCTCAAAGCAGTTTTTATGTAGACATGAGCAGTTTCCAGTGGGAATTTTCCACTAGCAGTATTAAAAAAACATAGTTGTGGGCCGGGCATGGTGGCTCATGCCTGTAATCCTGGCACTCTGCAAGGCCGAGGCGAGAGGATCATTTGAGCTCAGGAGTTCCAGACCAGCCTGAGCAAGAGTGAGACCTTGTTGCTACTAAACAAAATAGAAAGAAATTAGCTGGACAACTAAAAGTATATATATAAAAAATAAACTGGGCATGGTGGCGCATGCCTGTAGTCTCAGCAACTCGGGAGGCTGAGGCAGTAGGATTGCCTGAGCCCAGTAGTTTGAGGTGGCTGTGAGCTTGGCTGACACCACGGCACTCTAGCCGGGGCAACAGAGTGAGACTGTCTCAAAAAAACAAAAACAAAAACAAAAACAAAAACAAAAACAAAAAAACCCCAGAGAAAACATAGTTGTGATACAGTGAACGCTGTGATGAAAATCTTTTTGAATAGATTAGGTTTATTTCCAACTCTTAAGGAGCTTGGGGATCTTCAGAGGCAGTCAGTACATAGGTATAAAACTAACACACAAGGGAAGATAGTGGATAATGATTCGAATAGGATCAGGAAGTAGGTAGTGGAGCTGTTGCAAAGATGGCCTCTTTGAAACTAACAATGTTTCCTTAGTCACCTCCATATAATCCTCTCCTAGCACATTCATTCAACAAATATTAAGTTTTTCACTTTTTGCTTTTCTACTAGGGCTAGGTTAAGCTAGAGCTATTACTAAATTTTATAATGAAGATGTATACAAAAATTCCTTATGCTGTATAATCAGTTGTGAATCAAACAGTTGTGCAATGTTAATTCAAATCAAGCAGAATATCTTATTTTTAGTAATTATGTTTGAATAATTGTGTAAACTGAACATTAACTTATATTTTTTTAACTTAATGAACTTTTAAACTTTGAAAAAGAGGGTTTAAATTAATTCCATAAAAATAGAAGCTAGCTTGATACACACCTGATACACAGCTCCACATATAGCTCCAGTGATAGACTTATCTTTAAATTACTGTCTAGGTGTTCTATTAAAATTGCCTAAAATGTAGATTTATGTATATGATACTATTGAGAATGATTACTTAAAAACTCATTTGTCGTGGACAATGTTGGTACATACCTTTTAATCCCAGCTATTTGGGATGCTCAGGTGGGAGAATTGCTTGAGCCCAGGATTTCAAAACCAGTCTGGGCCACACAGACTCTGTCTCAAAAACAAACAAACAAACAAACAAACAAACTCATATGTATGGTACTATATCCTTATAGAGTGGCTTTAACTAAAAGTTAATTAGAAGAGCCTTGGCAATTGGTAATCTAGGGTGATCAGATGGGAACTCTGCTGATTTTTTGTTTTGTTTTGGAAACTCCAAACTGTTTCACAACACCTAGCTCATATGTTGTCGGCCATTAGGTATGTTTGCATCTCCTAGAAGAGATACTAGGAAAAAGAGTTTTTATTATGGGCAGCCATATATCCAGCTAAAAATCTGGAGTTTTGTTAGTAAGGAAAAAGGATAGAACTGATAATGATGTAGGCAACTAGCACTCTCAAGCCTATCCTTGTTCATGCCTATCCTCTCCACTTAGTAGTACTTGATCCCAACCTTAGTTGTGCTTCATATCCCTAATATTACTCTACCCTCCTCAGAGTAGAGGATCTGGGAAGCCTAATGATTTCTTTCAAGGTGTTCAGCCATACCCTCTCTTTCTTGCCTCAAATTGAACTATATTTAGAGGTACCTCCTACTTCTTAATTCAGATCTTTTTCTGGCTTCTCTGGTTTGGCCTTCACTTTGTTGCCTCCTTTCCCTCTAAGGCAGTTAGCTTTTAGCTTTTTCTTTTTCATTCATTCATTTTTCACTTTTTTAGAAAATCTTGTTGATACCTCTTGTATGCTGTATCTCCTTTCCCATTCTCTTTGTCCATATGCATTTACACCTTTTTCTTTTTGGTGCTTGAAACAACAAATTTATTCTTTTTAATTTTTTTTTTAATAGAGACAGGGTCTTGCTCTGTCGCCCAGGCTGGAGTGCAGTGGTGTGCTCATACTTCACTGCAGCCTCGAAGTCCTGTGCTTGAGTGATCCTCCAATCTCAGTCTCCCAAGTAGCTGGGTGCATCATCTTGCCTGGCTAATTAAAACAAAACAAAAAAAAAACCTAAAACAAAAAACTTTTTTGTAGAGAAGGGGTCTTGCTAAGTTGCTCAGGCTGGTCTAGAACTCCTGGCCTTAAGCAATCCTCCTGCCTCAGCCTCCCAAAGTGCTGGGATTACCAGCATGAACCACCATGCGCAGCCTGTAAATTTATTCTCATAATTCTGGAGGCCAGAAGTCCGATATCAGTTTCAGAGTGTCTGCAGGGCCATGTTCCTGCCAGAGGCTCTAGGGAAGAATCTGTTCCTTGCTTCTTCCACCTTCTGGTGGCTGCCAGCATTCCTTTGCTGTGGCTTCATCACCCCATTCTCTGCCTCTGTGGTCACACTGCCTTCCCTTCTACTATGTGGTAGTATCTTCCTTAGCCTCTCTCTAAGGCTGGGCCTTACAGAGTATAAGAGCTATATAAGAGTATATAAGAGTATAAGGGCTATAAGAGTACTTATGGCTGCATTTAGGACCCATCCAGATTACCCAGGATAATCTCTCCATCTGAAGACTGGTAACTTAATTATATCCTTTTCCATAGAAAGCAGTATTCCCAGATTCCAGGGATATCTTTTGGTAGACTGTAATTCAGCCTACCACAGTTTCTGAAGTGCTTGAAGTCAGTTACTTCTGGTTAGAAAAGGAGGGACTAATGAAGGCAACACTGTGAAAGTAATTTTAAAAATACCATTTAGTAGGCCGGGCGCGGTGGCTCACGCCTGTAATCCTAGCTCTCTGGGAGGCTGAGGCGGGCGGATCGTTTGAGTTCAGGAGTTTCGAAACCACCTCAGCAAAGAGCGAGACCCCGTCTTACTATAAATAGAAAGAAATTAATTGGCCAACTAATATATACAGAAAAAAATTAGCCGGGCATGGTGGCCATGCCTGTAGTCCCAGCTACTCCGGGAGCTGAGGCGAGGATTGCTTGAGCCCAGGAGTTTTGAGGTTGCTGTGAGCTAGGCTGATGCCATGGCACTCCACTCTAGCCCTGGGCAAACAAAGCGAGACTCCTGTCTCAAAAAAAAAAATACCATTTAGTAAATTAAATGTTAAAAAAATAAAATAAACTTTCAAAAGTGGATTTTCAAAATTTCTAGGAAAGGTAGGCTAAGGGATGAAAAAATGTAGGAGGCTAGGCTATGTGGACTCTAAACCAATCCTAGAAGTTAAAGTAAAAGTCAATGCTTAAAATCACTGCTATATTCACACCTCATACAGTGGCCACTAAAATGCACAGTGTGTCACATGTCAGTGGCTGGGCATGGACGTTCAGCTATGGTAGTACATAGATGGGAGGGATAGCGAGAAGGACAATAGGTATAGGTGTGTCCCAGCAGCTGTGGTTGGGAGGCTCAATAAGGAAGCAGGAGTAACACTGAAGGAAAAGTAGAGACCAGCACTAAGAACTCTAAGAATGGGTAAGATTTAGAGGTCCAGGCAGGCAGTTGACATAAGGACAGTATCTCAAAAGTAGTTAAACTTCAGGCTCTAGATTGGAGTTCTGGGTCAGGACTATGTCACTCACTGAAAGGGAATCCTAGATCCCAGAATACTGGGATAAGTAGCCAAGAGAGGAACTTAGGTCCTAAGGAACAAGGCAGGAATCTAGTTATCAGTACTGGGGTCCAATAGAGACATCTTTTACATTTT